CAAAAGAGTCAAGAAAATGGGCGTGCCTCCCTCAACCAAGACGTTCTTCTTCAAATTACATACATCAACCCTACCAGTAAAAACTTACCTCCAGGAAAAAGAAATATTTGTACCGTGGACTGTTAATTGCAGACTCTGTAACAAGCCAAAGACCATAGAGCACTGTTTTATTTATTGCAACGACGCGTTTTTGTTTTGGGATGTTCTACAACGCACGCTAAAGAAAGATCTAATTCTTAATGACTACAGTCTCCGCTTCCTCCCGTTCGCTGTGAACGAAACCGTCCCGTACGACATGTTCGCTCTGTTGGGACTTCATAGTCTATGGAAATGTCGCATGATCGACAGACACGCAGAGAAACCCCGTACGACAAAATCTCTTTTTCTAGAACTGGTAGCGCAAGTGAGGAGCGTATACGCTTCACCTCACAGCCAACCAGAGTGGTTTGCCCTGTTCGATGCATGTCTGGGTCTCTCAGATTTCTGAATGCTCTATTGACGATATATCCTTCTGTGACCATTGTGTTACACTCGTCGACGCAATTTCTGTCTCAATTTATCACATCCACTGGCCACATGTATAAGATGCCATATATAAGGTGTGTGTGTGTGACATTGGTATGTAAATAAGGTGTGAAAATGAATGTCCTATAACTGTATATACGCATAAGTATCAACATGTTATGTCACCTGTAAAAATTTCCATGCATTAAAGAAAAAAAAAATGCTCGGTAGCTTAGTGGATTGAAGCGCCGATTTCTTAAGCTCGTAGAGGACTGGTAGTGGAGAGTTCGAATCCCGCTGGCCCAGGCACTTTTTTTTTTTTTTTTTTTTTACATATTACAAGTTTTTTTTTGTTGTTCTTTTTATACAAACATTGGATGTGCATTTTGAGCACTTATCACCCGTTTTTTACAGCTGCTGTTATGACTGAGGATTATCTGTAGTGGCAATAGAGGGAGCAACAGCCTTCTGCATCAAGGCTCTGGATACTTTTTAGTTTAAAAATGTTGCATGAATTAAAAATTTCTGTACAAATGCTAATCACATATATCCTATAAAACGAGCCCTTTGAATATTGGGTGATAGTTTTAATAAGTGCACAGCAGTAAAGTTACAGGTTTTCCTTTATATTTTCTTCGTGGTCGTACCGTACACGGCGCAACGATCGGTACGCGGGCGTACGACCGTGATCGTCTGCTATCTGTACCGTAAGAGAGCAACATGAGCGCCGCATCTACCTCCCGTCCCTCTGCCTCCTCCTCGCAAGCGGTTTACAGCAGTAGACAACATATTTCTACTTCGGGAGGTGCTAGGCGCTACTCCTTTTTCGCTCCAGCACTTTGGAATGACGCAGCGTTGAAAAAGAACTTCTCGTTGCGAGGAGCGAAGGAACGGATTGACCTCCTCGTGAATAAAAATAGAGATTTAAGACGTACTGAAAGATACGTCATTCCAAAAATATACACACTGTATGGAAAGAAAAACAGAAACATTCCTTTCTTATTTAACGAACTCCCAGAGTCCCTTATGAATATAGAATCCACTAGGGTACTAAAAAGGAAACTAAGGAATCGGTGTCAAGCATCTGAGCTGTAGATATCGTAGCCTAACCGTTGGAGATATTTCGTACTTTTATTTCATGGTTGCGTGAGTAGACTTGGCTATAAACACCTATATTTCATGCTCTAAAGTGTTCCTTTTTGTATTTATTTGTGCTGCTAATTTTGTGTTCCTTTCATTTTTTTTTTTGTGCTGCGGAGTGTTTTTTTTTTTTTTTTTTTTTGTAGCAGCATGTATTGTAGTTGGTCGCCTGGCCCCACATACAAGCAGGATGCTGCTTTTGTGGGCCAGCTCTTTATTTTGTATGTCCTTATCTTAAAATAAAAATTGAATTAAATTGAAAATTGAATTGAATTAGCTTTGTACAAGAAAAATGACCGCATCAACTTGAGAAAGTGAGTATATTTTGGTTATTTTTGTATTTTCTTCGAGATTTAATATTTCTAGCTTTATTTGTCCATAGCTTTCTTAATACTCGATCCTGCATTGGGCCTCGAGGGAAAGAGACAGGATCGCTAGCAGGCGACTTCGAATGTTGATGATAAGCGCGCGCGAGCGTGTTCTTGTGCCAAATCGAGTTTGCTTTAGGCAACATTTTAGCATATCAGGACGTGGTTGGTGTAAACATCATATTTGGTTGATGTAAAACACCGAAGCTTGCCCGCTGAGAACGCATGATTTATTAGAAAACAAGTTGCCATGTACAGTCCAGGCATTATTTTATTCCCCAAGTATATAAATCTGGTAAACTGAAAGAAAAAAAAAGACCAAAATACGCTGGCACATTATTCGTGGTATCACAACTTTTTTGTTTACTCAAAAGCTACGCCAAGTTGGACGTCCTATGCCTTGCCGCCAACAAGCGCCTTCTCTTACCGCTCATTCACACTGGAAGCGGATCCGCGTTCGCAAAGCGGTTGCGAACGCGGTTGTATAAAGATCCAGTGCAATTGCACGCGCACTCAATGACATCAAGTGCGCGTGCAATTGTACTGGATCGTTATACAACCGCGTTCGCAACAGCTTTGCGAACGCGGATCCGCTTCCAGTGTGAATGAGGGGTTAGTGTATCGGTGCTCGGTGGCACCCGAAAGAAATGCGACTGACTCCGTGTCACGGCAAACCAAAAAGAATGTTAATTCCCTCGTGCCCCTGCACAAGTCACGGGCCCCACGGCACGCGCGTGCGTGCCTCGCTTATAGAAAGCGGGAAGTTCAAAAGAGACTCACGCCACACTTAGTGCGCAGACAGTCGTACAAAATCACTTTTTCTAAATTGCTTTCCCTGAATAGAGCCAACTCCAAGTCATGGTCGAAAAGATCGAGCGCCATTGTTGTCGGAAAGCTCGTCTGCTTCTTTAGCAGACGAACATTTTAGAACTTCGCTGTGCTAAGGGCGACACGCCGTGGTGCGCCAGGTTTTGTATTACGGAAGCGCATTCATTCCAGTAAAAAAACGAGACGAATTATAAGTAGGTATACTATATTTTTGGTTCTCTATATATTTAGGGTGCGATCTTTATTTACTTGAGTTTCTGCGATTTGTACAAACACACGCAAATTTGCTTTTTCTCGATGAGGCGGATGCAGGTTTCCGTTGCCAGGGGGCGCGACCTGTACCGATCGTCTGCTATCGTCTGCAAATACGGTTCCCCCAAAGCCGCTTCAGGGCACACGATCGGTCCACACGCCCGATCCAAGGTATCGATCGTTTTTGTTTATCGATCGTATTTTGTTCCGGTTCCCTAAAACTCTCTACTATCGATAACGATACTATGCATGCACAAGGGAGGCGGTGGCGGAGTATCGGGTATCGTTATCGGAGTCCATGGGAACGATCTACTAAAACTCTCTACTGTCGTGTAACGCACGTTGTCAACATCGATGACGACGTTGACGTCAAGGCGTCGTCCTGACGTCTAGGTTGTATAAAAATTATAGTCCGGCGTTCTATCGTTTCTATGACCTTGATCAGTGTGCCGGTCGAGCTTGCGTTGGAACTAAACGTGTTTTTCATAAAAAGCGGCTAGTCCGAACCACAACGCTCGTAGCGCCCGGGAGGGCGCAGCAAGCGAAGTGGCTTGGATAAGCCGTTTTTTTTTTGTTTTGTTTTTCACATGCGGAGGTACCAAAATAGCACTCCGGTGGCCCCACTGGTCCTTTCTAGTACATTCTACCACTGATCACGGGTGTCTGTACATGCCCTCGTCACCATCTTCCAAATTTCCCGGTTTCATAATTTTCCGAGTGCGGGTTACTAGTTCAGATTTGCCCCTCAATCTGTTGAACCAATTTTGAGGCAAATCAGCGACTATCAAAATTTCACCAAAGCTCATACTTTAAAGAAATATATCAGGTACTAGGACCTTTTTTTTTACGAACGCCACCAGGCGGCGCTCCCGTCTCTCAAGTCCCAGCGAACTTCCGATTCATAAAAAAGTGATCAAAGCCCACCTTAACACCGCTTCCTTGAAACGACGATGAAACATTCTCCAATTCTCCAAACAAACTTAAAAAAAAAAACAAAAAAAAAACAGGAAGTGCGAGACGTGTTAAATTCTATCTAATATCTTTGTAAAAAGACTTGTCTCCTTTAGAACCACTAAATGAGCTGCGCTTAGATATAGATATGGCTTACAGTATCGGCACTCCGTTTCCCGACATTGTTGTGCGCGCCCCCATTTTGGGGCTTGTGCAGAGCAGACGCAACTGCTGATCTTCATGATTCAAAAGTGCGACTTCCTTAGCATTAGATTCAGTGTTAAGAAGAAAGAAACTCATGTAATATTGCTTTGCTCTGTCGCGAATTGTTTCAACATTTACGGAGGACGGAAAAAGTTTCCTGCGATTTCAGATAAAGCTTCAGATAACTGGCAACCATGATTTTAAGCCACATAATGGCCAAGTGTCGTTATTCTGAAGCCTAGCTTTTTTAGTGGCACTATTCTCCTCCTAGACGTTAGAACGTACAGCCCAAGGCCACCACCAAATCTCCAACTTCGTTGTTCGTGTGGCATTTATGCTTTCTAGCACAGTGACATAAAAAAGCTCAGCAGGCTTGCAAAGACGGAGCGTCCGGAAGTCGCTTGAGACGCAAGCAGCGGTTCATGTTGGTAAACACTAAAAGGGTCTATACTCGTATTCACCCCAGGAGACGCAGTAAAAAGAGCCACGCTCCTCGCGGAACGTTACGACTTTTTTTACCTCCTGTGTTGACACATCTATAGGTGTGTCAATTAAGGCACATCTATAGGTGTATCTTATTTAAATCTCAAAAGTATTGTTTCTTCCTTCGAGAACCGAGTCTTGTAAGCACTATACTTTTCGCATCGCATGAATTATGCGCAAAACGTTTTTTTTTTCTTCTTCTTCTTCTCAACGTGAGAACAAGTATAGTAATAAAAAAGACGTCATCACGACCCTGGCTTCTGGACGCAGGCACCCAGAACGTGATCGAAGCCTGCATCCTGCAAAAGGTACCGCACCTGGTATTCACTGGAAGCGTAACCGCCGAAGGCGCGTGCAGCACAGGAGCCGCCGCTGCCGACCACTGCTACCCGGGTCCGTACCCCAAAACAAAGCTCATGGCGGAGAAGCTGGTACTGGCGGCCAACGGACGTTTCCTGGCCGATGGTAAGGACCTGAACACGGGAGTGGAAGTCCAACGGTAACGGCTTGCATTGAATCCCCTAACCTGTCACCGACTATAGGTGGCGCAAACCTCCGCCCAATTGAAAGGGTTAAAGGTATGCTGAACCGAATATTTCAGGGTCTATAATAAGTGGGCACTATCTTTTCATGAGTCAGCAGCTGCCGGTGTGCGCGAGCACACGCGACGAAATTGACGTCCTCATATGCTCCATTCACGCTTAATAAGCTCGAATGGGGGATATGATGACGTCAATTTCGTTGCGTGTGCTCGCGCACACCGGCGGCTGCTGACTCATGGAAATGTAGCGCGACACTTATTGCAGACACTAAAATGTTTGGTTCAGCATCCCTTTAAGCCAATATCACTTATAAGCAGTCTTTTACACGTTACATGAAAAAAGTAATCGATCGCAATTTCAATTACTCTCGATTAACAAGTATTTATATTAGACTACTTGATTACTCGAGAAGAAAAGTAATTGATCGTTACTTACAAAAGTAAGCCTTAGTTTTTCCGACTACATTATATTGTCAAGACGACAGGCGTTTCTCCAGGTTTTAAGACGAGGCTTTCGTACTGTCCAATTAGAGCACTGCACGGGCCCGGCCCAGCCCAAAACCCCGAGCCCGGCCCGGCCCGCGGGCCGGGCTCGGGCCGGGTTGCAAGCAATTTATCGGGCCCGAACCGGGTTCGGGCTTGAACGAAAAAAAAATTTTAGTCCTATAACGGCCCGGGCCGTGGCTGGGCAGTCATATGCTACAAATTCTAAATTGTCGATAACAAAACGTGTGCTTGTTGATCGTTTAGGTTCAATGAAAACAAACAAGCGAAATAAAAAATCACTAGGACGCCGTTAAAAAAAAAAATAAAAAACGTCTTGCACTTGAATAGCTTTCACGTGGATAAAAGGAAACGTATATGATTCCACGAGCACAGTGGGAAAGTGCGTTCAAGAAAAAGAGGGCACTCCAGTCGCAGGAATACAACATGAGTGTCTTTTACCTCTGCCTTTCAAACTAAAAATAAAAGAAAAAAAACGTGAGCACGACTTTGCACTTTGTGCAGGGGGCCATACTATGCCACCAAAGGTAAGCAAACGACTTTAACATAGATAATCTTATGTTTATACAACCTTTTGAAGATGCACTGTACTTTGTTTCAGCTTTGGTCCGAGTGCAGCTGATGTTATGAGCCGGATTGCCAATCAAACGGCGAAAGAGGCACAACGTCATGGCGTGCTCTCTGCAGTTGATAGGGCGAGCCGTTATTCGCCGTCTCTCTGTGCGTGCTCCTCCGCCGGCTAGTCCTATCAAGCTCAGAGAGCACGCCATGCCGTAAGGTTTTTGCGCAGTTTGATTGGCCCTTTGGCTCATAACATTGGCCGCGCTCGGACCTAAGTTGAAACGAAGTATAGCGTGATTCTGATTATTTCTTCACAAAAACATGTACAGAGGAAAGTTCTCTGTGAAACGAATTGAACAATCTGGGATCCCGGTCACACCACGCTCGTATCTAACATTGAAGCCACTCAGAATCGCGGCGCGCGGTTTATCCTTTGTAATTATTCAGCCAGTCATGAAATCTAACCTATCTTTGCCCCTTCTTTCTCTGAGCCGTAAAGTATCTCGTCTATCGCTTTTTCATAAAATTTACTACTCTATCCCTTCTCTAAACGAAAAACGTATTCTCCCTCCCCCGCACATCTCCTTTCGGCTTGATCATCAGTAGAAAGTTGGAATTCCCCAGTGTCGCACCTCCCCCTACATCGACTTTTTTATTCCCAGGTCGTCATCGGAGTGGAACCACCTTCCCAAATTTTTAGTATCTTTATTTATATCATCATTTGATTCGTTTAGAACTGCATTAACCAGTCATTTTTGTCAGCAGGCACCCTACTGCTTTTCTCTTGTTAAATTTTTGTATTTATTCTCACTTTTGTATTATGTTTTGTTAGTTGCCCTCCCCTCTGTAATGCCCTCGGGCCTTCAGGGTACTGAAATAAATAAATAAAATAAATAAATAAATAAAAAACAACGAAAAGAGCAGTATTTCTTCAAGAAAAGCACTCAGTAAATAAGATACTGCCCACTTTTTTTTTTTTTTTTTTTTTTCAAGATCAGTTAATAAGTGCATATTTCGCCCATATTCTCGAAAACGCATCGCTGAAGTTGGGATATTTATTGTGTCAAAGAAACTGTGTCCAAGTTTAAAATAAATTTAATTCTAATATGCTCGCTTTATGCTTATGAAGTTTTTAGGTTAAAGCATGCAAACTTTCTCGGGCTCATGTATATAATCTGTCAGGCTCGGGCCTGGCTCAGCCTTATATTTAAAAAAATTTGTCAGGCTCGGGCCAAGCTCAAGCTTCTGTCTAAACATTCCGCCGGGCCCGGGCCGGGCTCGGCCAGTGTCTCTTCCGGGCCGGGTCGGGCAGGGCCTCCGAATTAAATATTTTGTTGGGTTCGGGCCGGGCCCGGGCCGTGCCTCTACCGGACCGGGTCGGGCCAGGCCTAAGAATTCCGTCTTTAATCGCCTGGAATAAATAAAAATAAATTTAAGGTGGGGGGGGGGGGGGGGAGGGGAGGGGGTCAGTGTCATTTTGGTACTTACAAATGTAAAACAATGAGGGTGTCTTGTTTAAAAAACGCGCCCATTATCGCACTCAATTGGTAACACTCCAATGCAGTTTGTGTCGTCTTATAAATATCTTAATTGGTGTACATACTTCTTCTAACATTCCATGGATCATACTGATCACATCATCGCCAATACTATTCTATACTTGGATATCTAAAAATATATTTTTCTTCCGTCCCTTTATCCTGAAAACTAATTGTGTACAGATCGCTTGTTCGCTCCAAACTTGAGTATGCCACAGCAATCAATGGGCTTGCTAAGCCAGCCTCTCAGCTGAGACTGTGTGAAAGAAAGCGCTGCAAAGGCTGGGACGCTTGAGAAGCCGTCTGAGTCCCGCTCAGCTCGTGCGCTGGCTTTGGTAGTGCTTTCTCTCGACCCGTCTCAGATGAGACGCTGTTTCTAGCAAGCCTGCCCTGCGATCACGGTCAAACAACGCCCGTGACTAACATTGAAGGCATGCAAAATCGTACTGTACGTTTCATAATCTGTATTCATCGCACGGCTATAGTGTCTCATCAATGAATGAAAACCACTCTATCACTACCTCTTCTTTCACTACGCCAAAACATATTGTGACTGTCTATTTTACAAAATGTACCATTCTAAAGCCTCACTATTTTTCAACCTATATTTTATTCCGCAACGCGTCTATCCTCACTTGAATGTAGGCATAATTCACTGCAAGACCTCAGCGTGCATTGACTCCTTTATTGTATAGAACGTCCTCTAATAGAAACCACCTTCCCGTATCTTCTGTCGATATTGTCACCAAGGACAGACAGTGAGGCAGACGAAAACGTAAAGAACTAAAGATTTAATGGAGGCGAACTTGTGCCAAATACAAAAAAAAGAAAGAGAAGAACACACGTCGAGAAAGCAGCAGCAAGCGTCTACGGCGGCAGCCGCAGGCGACGGTACTGTGTCGGCGTAACAGCTGGTTAACGCGAGTGGGAATCACGGAATGAATTGGCAATACGGCGCTCGGCTCCTTATCTACTAAGCCCGTGATCTCGAATACTCGACCTAGAATGTTCGGGAAAGCGCTAGGGCGAGGCTGACTAGGCAAGATCATTCTGGCCTCCTTATCTTTTACGCTCGAGGTAAGAGTGTACGCAAATCTTAAATCTTATACATGAACGAAGAAGCTTATCTTGCCATCATGTGCGCGGCAATATACCATCTTGGTTCATTGTAAACGACTTCATTTTCGCGAGAACATGATTTTCGCGAATTTTGAGAACAGCCTACAAATCGCGAAAAAAAAATAGGTCCCGCGAGCAATTCCGGTAAAATGTGAACACATTGGAATCTATATTAAAATCCCCCCCGTGTCTCGAAAACTAGAACCCGATAATTATTCCAAAACATAAGCTTTGACGTAAATCGCGAAATATTGAGCCCGCGAAAAATAAATCATTTACAATATTTAGAGTTGCGTCAATTAATCACTTTTGCTTAAACATATTAGGCTGAACTATTTGTTGTTGTTGTTTTTTACTTTTCAGCCGTGGTGCATTTATGCCTTTGAACTTTTTTATGTGTTGTTGTATATGTTGCCGTTTTTACCCGCACCCTTCTGCAATGCCCTCTGGGCCTTGAAGGTATTAAAATAAATAAATGAAACAATTCCTCAATTTTGTTTTTGGTTATTTAATAAAAAAAGTGTCTGAAGAGTGGGAAAGTCGATTCCGATTTGACAAAAAATAGCACGTCATATGGGCACTCTCTGCATGCAAATTGACTTCACAACCTGCGAACCTCACCATAAGTTGCCTTTAAACGTACAAAGGGTATTTACTAGCTTGACTCAAACTGTTTCGTCGCACAAATTCGCAGAAACCCGACCTTCTCATCTTGACAGATATGTTTATTTCAATTGCGCAGATATGTTTATTTCAATTGAGCAGTTCCAGAAACCCCTTGGCGTGCCTCCAAATTTACCCCTGACTTTTTTCATTTCCTCTCCCGGGAGCAGGGCAGACTCAGCTGCGCACAGTGGTTCTTCGACAGCTGCCTCTATACGGCGAGCAGGAGAAGATAAACTTCACTCAATTCCTACGGGTGTCCAAAGTGACCAGGGGGACCTTTCTACGGATTGGCACTCCACGCCTGCAGGTACGAAACATGATTTTTCCTTTCGCCGCGCGCGTATACTGCCAGCTTTCCGAGTCATGAAGAGTGTTAAACTAACGCCTACCCACTAAACCGGACGAGCGCTCCAATTTTTACCCACAGGTGCAGCGCGCTGATGGACATCCATTCATAAAATTTCAGCTCTGGAGTTTCGAAACCTTATTGAAACCTCATCAAGCAACACTGGCGTGTGCCCTTTCCCGGGCAGGAAGCGTGTGATTGGAACCGAATGTGGCACAGCCCTCATGTCCAATGCGTGCTCAGAGTGAGTGGCCAAACAACAGCAAACTGGGATTATTGGCGTAGCCTCTTCTGTATAGACTTTTCCAGCGAAATGCCGAACCACTAGGCTGTTGAGGCATGCTCGGTGTCTCATATTTCGTGGACGAGAGCCACCGACTGCGCACGCTGAGAACGCCTTCCGCAACCCAGAAGACAAAGATGACAACGCGCAGGAGTCAAATATTGGAAAGCTATAAGTAAGTTCGAATCCACATCACCCCGCCAGCCAATCGCTTCCTTGACGTGACAGACGGTGCTTGACGAACTATCATTTTCAACTTGTCGGGCGCTGTTTTCAACGTTGGTCTTGCCGAGGTACGCCGGCTTCTCGAAGTGAGTCGTGATCCGGGTTTACGTCGCAGAGCTGGGCCGCCATCCGCTTTTGTGCGCGGTATTTTCTGTGTTACGATGTGAGAATTCCCCGCTTGGACGATAGCATAAAGGCTGGTTCACAAACTTGCGAATGTATAACCGAGCACGCCTGCAAAGGTATACGACGTTAATCTTTTTTTTTTACGGGTTGCTATGGCAACGTGCGGTTGTAAGCGGCTTGAAACCCCGTCGCCATAGCAACGCGTTAAAGGATTAACGTGGCAAGCCATTGCAACCGTGCTTGGTCGGAATCCCGCAAGTGCGTGAATCACCCTTAAGCCTCCCCCGACGATTACGACGAAAGCGGTGCGAAGGCTTCTTTTTCTTCATTCGCTTAGTGTTGGCCCTTGAGACAACTCGCTTTGCACAATTGTGGCGATGTGAGAGTTTTTTCGTTGTAGCTGTTATGTGACGATATGAGAATTGTACAGTCGTGTTCTCTGTCCTCTCTGCCCCCGCTTGGACCATCTCCTAAGCCTAACCCGTCGAGAGCGGAGCAAGCTTCCTCTACGCCGAGGCCGTCCCTTCGTACTCTTAGTATTCGCCCCTGTGAGGATGTCGCAAAAGCGTCGTGATGTATGCGTTTCTTCGAGGTGGCGTGAGAATGCTGCGTTCAATACTATTGGTGCGATACGGTACGTGAAATACTCAAGTATTGTTACCGCCATGCTGGCTCACTTGACTCCATCTGCTTCCCTGCTTGCTTTCATAAGTGAAGGATGCGTACTGCATGGTAGGACCCGTTCCAAGCGGTATTTATTTATTCCTGAAGCTCGCGCCCTCAGTGATTCTGGTCGTTGTGGTCAGTCGGACGGTAAATCAGGTAAGCAGCTATTGCCTCGTCCTACCATTGTCACACATGAGGGTGTCTTGCTGTCACCTTTAACAACGTTATTGGGTTGGAAATCGTGCAGCACCTTGCCTCGCACGAGGTTGCACAAGTACCTTCGCAGCCCTGAGACGATGTCGTCCCGTTCAAAAAGCAGCGAGCTTTACTTCCTATGCTCGCGCCTGACACTGATATTGCCGATGCCGCCATATCGGCCATGTCGCGGAGCAGACGACGCACTACGTCTCGACAACAAATGCACTTGCATCGGACGTATTACGCCAGTGGGGTGGAGCCTCCACTTAATCATAAACCTGTCACTGACTGTACAGTGTACTCAACTGTTAAACATAATGCGGGAGCGGTGGCCGGAGAGACTGTATGCGCCATCTACCGGCTCACTCTGGAAGCTTATGCCACTGTTGTTTTCTGGAGTTACACTCCCAGCTCTGAAACAATCACCGATGCGTGACTCGGCGATAAAAAGATCGCGTTTTGATTGTTTTTGTTGTTGTTTAAAGAAGGTGGCCTTTATTAGAGAAACTGCAAAATCACCGAGATATGGTAGCCCGGCATGGTAAATGCGTAGATGTGACTAAACAGGCTGGAAAAAACAACAAAACAAAAAAAGTAAAAATTTAAGGGGTGGGTGATAAAGAAAGGACCGAGGAGGTCGTGCGATAATTGTATCGGGGAATGGCGACAATCCCAAGAAGAGCCGGCTTCTTTTCTGCCGCATCATTGATTTAATCGCTAGACAGCTCTGCTATCAGTTTCGGCCACCGCTCCCGCGTTATGTTTAACAGTTAAGCACACTGTACATGGCGCGCATTTTTTAAAAAATCTAATAATATAAAAACCACCTTTTTTTTCTAGAAATAAAAGCCCGTTGGTATTAAGCTAATCAGAACAGCGGTGAAGAAATCTATAGCGTTTACTTTGATAAATTTAGCAGATTGAGAGGTTTTCAGATCGTCCCGCGGTTTTGGCCAGAACAAAGCTGTGATATATATGAAAGACGTTTATATATCTCTGCAATGCCGGATTAGAGCGCAGCTCTTGAGGAGGAGGAGAGGAGGGTACGGAGGGGAAGGTATGCCCCTCCTCCCCCTCCGTACCTTTCCTCCCTTCTCTCCTCCTCCGCTCCCATTTAGCGAAAACTTTCCCGCTAACTTTCAGCGAAAACTTCCCTGCTAAGTTTAGCAAAAAAATTTAACCAAAAGTTTCTCGCTAAATTTAGCGGAAAGTTTAGCGAAAATTTCCTCGCTAATTTTTTCGGGGAAATTTTACTATAATGCAACGCGTGGTTACGCCCGGTTGTGTTATTCCCATAATGCAACGCTCGCGGTTGCGCCGACGCCGATGGCGACGGCGACGCCGCACAACCCGGAAACGGGCGAGCTGCGCTCTAAAATAATACAGAGGATCCCTGCTGAAAGTACCATGAGTGCTTGTAGTAAACCATGAATTCTTTTTAACGCTATCCCAAATCCCAATATGTTTTTAGTCCGTGAGTCCCTCTATGTACGTTCTGTAAAATTCAGCGGGTAAACTGAATTGGTCTTTAAGTCACGTGATGTCGATTGATCTCACGTGTCCTCACGTCACGTGACCTATACACGAAAGCACTTTCCCTACTAAATTTAGTCAAACTTAGCGGTAAAATTGACGTCCCGTGTTGAGATTCAGTTTCCCCGCTAAATGTGGAGGGAAAGTCTATGGTACACGCCCCAGACACGCTCAGTTTCCAAGCCGTCACGACTTGATGCTGAGCTATATGGGAAATGGATGTCACGTCACCTATGCACCTAGTTTCCTCACTCAGTGTAGTGGGGAAATCGATACAAACAAATGTTCTTCACCACCCGAGATGACGGTTTAATGCCTTCTAAACAATGTTAAACTCTCGAACCTTAAATACTGGCTTTCGTGCATTGTAAAACTTCGGAGATCAATGTAGCAGAGTTTGTTTTTATCTACCAGGATGTCTATTTTAATAAACAGACGTTATGGTTAAAATAAGTCTTACCCTCTCACCCTGTCACCCGGGTTCCACGCAGACAACGTACGTCGGCAACGCGGCGGCAGCGCATCTACACGCCATGCATCGGCTCTCCCGTGACGCCGACGTCTCCGGGCAGGCCTTCACGGTCACGGACGATACACCCACGGACGGCATCCAGTTCATGCTGCCTTTCGCCAGGAGCAGGGGGCTTGCGGTGTCGCGTTTCGCGGTACCTTACAGCGTTGCCCTCGCCATCAGCGTGCTCGTTATGCTAGTCTTGACGCTCCTGCGCCCCCTGTACAACCCCACGTTCCAGGTGGCGTCTCCTTCTGACGTCCGCTACGTCTACAGGGCGCCCTTCTTTGACGGATCTCGCGCCAGGACAGTGCTGGGCTTCCAGCCGCGGTTTTCGGTTGAGGATGCCTTGCGCATGTCCATGCCCTACTACCGGGAAGTCCAGCTTTAAGCCCAAATTGAACATAGAGTTACGAAATATTCCCGAAACAGTGAAAGTACCGAGCTTCTCCTGACAGCCATTGACCTAGCACCGATGTCATTTCGCTGAGAATGGCTCATGTGCTCAATTTATACACTGTAATAAAAAGAATATGTGAAAGTTTTTTTTGGGTTTCGCCGTTGCAATAAACTCGGGCAGTTGAATTGATGTGTGTCGGCTTGAAGCTAAGCTGGTCGGTCCATTGCTATTTATGGTGCCAGCTGAACATGAAGGCCGGTAGTTGGCCTTCCTTTGATACTTTTATTTTACTTATTGGAAACTTTATTTGATTTGAAGTTTTATTGGAACTTGATGAATAGAAAGCCAACTATTGGTCTTTTTCTCGATAAAAACGAAAAAAGAACGTTTCCCTTTCGCGCGTTCGGTTAGAAAAGGGACACCTGGTAAGCACACGTGTTGGCCTTTTTAGCTAACATCTGTCCAAAGTTCAGGTACGAGACCCATTCAAGGTTTATACTTTGGAAATTATAATCGCTTTTCTCCAAGAGAAAAGATGTGACATCGCTAGGTCTTCCATCGACGTACATGACATGTATTATTCCATCCCGTATACAAACCTCCTAAAGATTCTCCTAGACATCATTGAAGAATAAGGTACCCTAACCTTTTAAAACGATGTCGGCATAAATATAGAGAGCTTCTTATAACTTCTAAGCGTGTACCTAAAGGCGACGGTAATGATACATCCACACTAACAGCATGTACAAAAAAGTTTTATCTGCATAGTATCCCGGTTAGCTCCAAACCTCAGTTATTTGTATTTCGCAGCATGCGGATCTGCAACCAAGTCTGTTTATAAGGCCCCTGAGTTGAGGCCATCTTCAGATATATGTGCGATTTAATAATATTCTCTAACACTGATGTAAATTACACATTCAACGGGTACAAAGAAGTAGTCATGCAATGTTTCGAACAAAGCTGCTTGGATCTTACCTCACTTATGAACTCCCCGTGAACAAATGCCTAAATTTTATGAATTTATATTTAGAGTTTACACCAGGACACTTGTGCTGGAGATATTAGGCAAGGCCTTGTAAATAATTTCTTCCATTTGGGTCCGAACATTCAAAGAATGTTAAACGAGGAATTGCCACCCCAGAGCTCACTTCCGCCCTTGAAAAGTCATATCAACATCAGTTAGGGCGAGTTTCGCGACGTAAACATCCAGGATCCAGGATGCTGGAACGTCAAACATCCACCTGAGGGCAATGGCGAAGCATCAACGAAGCCTCGACACTTTTTTGCGGTAACTCTCTATATTCACGGGCTCACCCATCGATTAAAAAAGATTGGTGACCGACAGGGCGTTCAAGTGATTTGCTTAACGCCCAACAAGGCATATTCCATATAAGGGAAGAACTGTTTATACAGTCTGAAGTTAGTCTGCCTCAACAGGTGCGACTTTTTACTCAGCTGTAGATCAGCAACCTTAGCCACGGCGGTATAATTGCTAGTCTGGGGTTTTTACCATGTACCACGCAGTAGTGTGCACAACCGCAACCGGTACGATGCTGATCCAGATAGAAACGGGCCGGGGTGAGGATTGAGCCGAAGTTCCCTGGTTTCTTCAACGCAAGCTTCCGCTCCACATGCTCCAAGCTGCTGTGCGCTAGCCGACTCGGACACCGATTCCCCATATGCCGGAAGGTAAACAAAAAGCTCAACAAGGAAAAATTGCAGGCACGTTCATTCGACCAAACAAGATAAAGTGCGGCAGCTTTACGGGAACATTGTGAGTCGAAGTTATTAGGAAAGGGAATAGTATGGTGAATAAATTGTTGTAATATGCCGCGCACACATCAAGACGACGTCAAGGACGGCGTCGGGAACGAGCTTAAGAACAATTACTAGAGCGGCCACTGGACGACTTAAGGCTCTGTTATACTCCGACGTAACGCGCGCGCAGGCGAACGCTGGCCGAAGTCGGCTACGTCACGTCAGTCACGCCGCGCGCGTCAAAAATTCGCCCTCTTTATACTCCGGCGGCCCTGGCGACTCCCGCGGCTGTGCGTCGGTGGGCCGCCGGCGTGGCGCATGCGCAGAATCTGACTACGAGGGCACGTTTCCTGCGAGAGTGCGCCACTTCCGGTGCCTTTTCGTTTCGAATGGCAGACGAGAATAGGACCGAAGCGCTCAAGTTTCGCCGCCGACTACAGCGCCATTCCAGCCCCTGGCGGGACGCCCGAGTCCAAGTGGCTCGTTGTTTTTCGCCTCGCCTCTCCGTCGTAGGCGGTCGGATATAACATTCATTGCGATAGAGACGATATAAAAGCCCGGCTAGCACGAATATTTCGTCGTTGATCGCAGCAACCATCTCCGATGTTGTTGTAGTCGATCCTTCAAATTCTACCGCTTCCCTGAAAAGCCGTGCGAGACTCGAACGGCGCCAAGCCTGGACCACGTCGGTGCTCCGACAAAAGTAAGTTTCTCGTTCGTTGGAAGATCAGTTTTGCTAAATACGCGGGAAAAACTAAATAGAATTGGTGTCAGAATAGAAGCAGAATCACTACCGAACGCGGGAAAGTCAGTTGGCAGTGCCTGCGTGACGGAATATCTGATTTTTGTGCGCGTCTGTCGCTTCCCTCGAGGTGTTTGACGGGGCTTCGGTCGCGATGTTGGATCCCTTTGGCACGAATATTTCAACTACAATCACTGGCAGGGTGAGAACGGCAGGGAGAAGCTTCAGTTCCTCCAGCACTAGCTTCGAACCGTCGACAGGGTTTCTATCTCGCGACCGTCGCGCGTTCACGTGCAGCCACATCGCAACGAAGGGCAACGAAGACGTGCTGGAGATCGGCCGTTCACAAGAGGCGCCCTGCCTGCCGTTCTGACTTTGTCAGAACACTTCTAGCTAGGGGAGGGGCTTTTGGGGGTTGCGAGTGCAGCTTTCTTCTGCCGTGTGTTTCTTAATCGCTGTTCTCGTTTTTTTCTAGCTGTTTATGGCCATCATGTACGACGCTATAATATACACATGCATCCCCCCCCCCCTCCCAAACAACACACACAAGGAATGCACTTCCAAACAGCCTCAACCAGCCAGCCCCCCCCCCCCCCCCCCCCCTTTTCTTTTTAAAATAAAAAGAAAGCCTGATTATGTTTACATAATCATAATAATTTACAATAACAGTTTCTATTATTTCGTGTCGATTTTCTGCTGATCACACCAGAGATCTTATATTATTGACTTATTTTTCAGTGGGGGCGGTTCAGTTTTGATTCCGCCAACGTCAGCGAGGATCTGCAGCGTGCACTTCGTGAACACCTGCAAGGACAACGCTGAGGCTCATCCTGCAACAAGTCACTAGACGAGATGCCAGCTGAGGTGTTTAATAAGGACTAATTGCAGGAAACCTACCAACCCTGTAATTGCTCGTGAAAGATTCTTAGTTAAATTAATTTTCACTCCCTCGCTCGAAGATGCAGGTGACCTTTCCTCATCTATGTTGCATTCTCTATGTGTGGCCGGTTCTTAGCCAGTTAAAAGTATTGTTAGTTCATTGGCAACTTCTGTAGTCTCTTTCGTCTTCGAGTTGCACGTTTTGGTTTAGTCTGTACCCCAAGATTCAATATAGCTTGGCTAAAGATGGATAAGCTTAGGTGACTACTGCTTTCTCACGAACTGGGAGACATCTTTCGTGAGATCTGGAATATCTTGAACAGCTGATCTGCTATGCAAGATCTCTGAAATAGTCGGGGTTCTCGGCCCTACAATTTCTTGGACAGTCCTTGCTTCTCGAGATGTGTACATCATCTGCAAGTGTCCTGCCAGCCATACCTCGAGTCTGCGCTAATGTCACCGTGTTAAGAGCACGAGAAGAATTTTTATATTGTCACAAGGTTGTGTGTTTACCTACTCGTGGTTGTGACAAAACTCAATAAAAATCGTTCCCACTGTCAACAAAACATTTCTGAAAGTGATGCATTATGCTGCTGTACCATATTTTCCAGACTATAGTCCACAGGGGCAAATTTGGGGTAAAAAATAGATTTTGCTTACATTGTACACATACAGTGCATCGTCTGCACCTGGTGCTTAGTTGTCACGAATATCCTCTCATAGACAGCACACCTTGAGAAATGTCTGCTTTCTTAGCGCAAAAAGAAGCTGGTATTATACATAAATTATCATTAACATACCCTTTCATTCACAAAATCCGTCTCGTCATAATCAACGATATTGAAAAACAAAAATCCCGCATAGTCCGCACAGCCTAAAATTTTAATTTTTAAAAGCATAGCCCGGAAAATACGGTACATTCCTGGAAACGCTTGAAAACATGCCAACATGCCACAAAAGAAACTTTATTCAGTGAAGCAGCAATGAAACACTGACAGGCATGGATTATTTTTCCAGAAAATAAAAATTGTTCTACTAATGACAACCTATCATGTGTCACTGGTGTTTTCTTTGCTACCCAACATTTTCCTCCTAAAATGTCCCACACAGTAAAGTATGAATCAAGCCCCCACCCAATATTTGAAAATCTTGCATGTGGACTGGACAACTTGAACCTGAAAGAGAAATTAAGTTTTTTTTATAAATCCATCCAACTGAACATTGTCATGAAAATTCGACTAAAATTATGTGCAGTCATATGCATAGCAGACATTTATGCTGGAGATTTAGTCCAGGCTAGCCTCTTTTCGTTTTCAACTGTTTTGCCCCTCTTTCTAACAGAATCTCGCGGCACATTATTGTTCAAACTCGCAGAAAAAGTACCATTAATCAGCAGGAGCAGGTCCCCAGTAACTGCAACCTACTGCCTCAGTGAAGTGGGACAAGAAAACCTGGTAATAAATCTACGAGGCCTTTGTTCAGGTCGTGCCCTGGCGTTTTAGTTCCCTACTGCTGAGGCAGGCTGATGAGGACGCGTGTTCAACAATACTAATAAAATTACGAGCGTCGGCACAATGCTCGCACCGGTCCGCGACTCCAGCCCAGCGAGGACCTGCAGGCTCAACTGTACGCGGGGGACTTATCTCTTCCCGGAATTATCACCCTATGCCCGCACGATCCCAGACACGTTAATATTTCTTCGACGTGAGCGAGCCCGAAAAGCTATCCCACTCGTAGCCTCTAGTGCGAGAACATAGTCTGCCGGTGGTTCAGCGACCGAAAAATAGTATCCCGACGTCGTCTAAC